TTGTTACGTTCGCTGATGGTGTCTTGTGGATGTTTACTGTTAGTTTGTTCTCTTGTATTTTCCCCTGATATGGCATATAGGGCTAGACCTATGTTATGCAGACTAATGGGCACTTGTGGTCAATATCACGACGCCCGGCTATATTGACCAGGACTTGAATCTTGTGCCCATGTGTCTAGGAGGACTTGGGAACCGTTGAAAGATAGCTGGGTTACTTTTAATATGGCTCGTATACTCTGGAACAAATACCGCTTCCTACAATTGACAACACTAGAACGCCGCTCGGTTTCCCACAGACAATGTGCCAGTTTATTTTTTCTGTTCCATCACATGTACTCAATAGCTGTTCACTTCCACAACTATGCCACAACAATCATTTACTCAACGTTGACTACATCTTATTAAAACAACAGTAACGACATAACGACTGTCCTGTTCTAACTCTGGTACACAAGTGACCAGAGTCAACCTCGGACTTTCCCTCGTTTACCTTTCCAGCCCCAAGTTATCTCATGCGGTTGTTTGTCGCACGGATTTTCTGCTTGACTTGCTGTGACCGTGGAGACCATGCAAAGTAGGGTCATCACAACCATGGTCATCTTTGAAGAAGAATAAAAAACATGTTCGGCTTCGTTTGGAACATGGAACATAGCCATTGCAGTATTGAAACACCATCGGTTATTTCTCTGGCAGGTGACATAAGTTCTGTGAAGAGCGGAATAGACGAAACTCTCAAGAGGATCTTGAGCACTGTGACGTGGCTGGAGTATCCAAAGAAGTGTTCTAGAGAACAGGTACTTCACTGTCTGTCTGTCTGTCTGTCTGCCTGCCTGCCTGCCTGCCTGCCTGTCTGTCTGTCTGTCTGTCTGTCTGTCTGTCTGTCTGTCTGTCTGTCTGTCTGTCTGTCTGTCTGTCTGTCTGTCTGTCTGTCTGTCTGTCTGTCTGTCTGTCTGTCTGTCTGTCTGTCTGTCTGTCTGCCTGCCTGCCTGCCTGCCTGCCTGCCTGCCTGCCTGCCTGCCTGCCTGCCTGCCTGCCTGCCTGCCTGCCTGCCTGCCTGCCTGCCTGTCTGTCTGTCTGTCTGTCTGTCTGTCTGTCTGTCTGTCTGTCTGTCTGTCTGTCTGCCTGCCTGCCTGCCTGCCTGCCTGCCTGCCTGCCTGCCTGCCTGCCTGCCTGCCTGCCTGCCTGCCTGCCTGCCTGCCTGCCTGCCTGCCTGCCTGTCTGTCTGTCTGTCTGTCTGTCTGTCTGTCTGTCTGTCTGTCTGTCTGTCTGTCTGTCTGTCTGTCTGTCTGTCTGTCTGTCTGTCTGTCTGTCTGTCTGTCTGTCTGTCTGTCTGTCTGTCTGTTTGTTTATCTTTCGTGTGTCTGACTGTCTTCTTGTCTGTCTGTCTGTCTGTCTGTCTGTCTTTCGTTTGTCTGACTGCCTTCTTGTCTGTCCGTCCGTCAGTCTATCTGTCTGTCTTTTGTTTGCGTGAATGTCTTCTTGCCTGTCTGTCTGTCTGTCTGTCTGTCTGACTGTATGTCCATCCTCCGTCCGTCTGTCTGTCTAGGTATCTGCCTGCCTAAACGTCTTTCTGTCCCTCTGTCTGTGTATATGTCTACCAGTGTCTACTTAAATATCGGGATGTGTGTCTACCTTCTGTCTGTCTTTCTCGTGGGTGGCTGTCCGTCAGTCTGCCTGTCTGTCTATATAGCTATATGCATTATTCTGACTGCTTGTCCGTCCATCTTTATGTGTAGTTCCGAGACTTTTGTCCGCATACTTTAAAAAAAGGCATAAAATAGAGGATACAGTTATTATTTCTCACCTGAAAATTGAAGTTATTTATCATTTTTTGTTGCACACACGAGCCTTCCCATACGCACACACACAAATACATACACACACACATTCACACACACAAATAATAATTCCCTATTTTGTCTTTATTAAGGAGTATGATCAATTTTGGAAACGACTGGAGCTCTCGATGCCAAAGAAAAGATCCTCCCATCTTGAGGCAGCCAACACAAAGTCCTGTCTCGGATCACCATCCAGCGGCCTCTCAACGGAAAACTCCAAAGACAAAGACGCCCTTCCGATATCGTACCTCATGGCAAACGAATGCTCCGACACTGGACTCCTTCAGAGTATAGTTCGAATTCCCGCAGACCGTGCGGGCTTTAATGATTCGTGCGTCAAAACTGACAGTATTGCCTTTGAAAAAATTCTAGAAACGCAACCGGAAGAGGATTCTCAAAATGAAACTGTCGAACCATCGACTGCAAAAGTCTCCACTGATTTACCAAATTCAGAACGATCCTCAAGAAACAGCTGTGACGAAAGCTGCGCGGGTTCCATTTTGGAAATTCCAGCGGTGGAAGATTCAAATGATATTTCCGGAAGTTCGGGTTCGAAGGACCAGCAAGCCACTTCTGACACTACCTCACAGTGCAGTGGTCTACACCAGGAGACGGGTTCCAACAATGACGATTCCAGTGAGGAAGAAATTCCAGACTGCATGATTGGGAACTATATAGGGTCACTTGAGATTAGGAACTCAGTGGCCGTTTAACATTTGCCTACAGATTAACGAACTAATCAATCAATTACATGCCATCTTCAGATATAAGGCTGGCTAAAATGGATCTGAAACTAAGAAGGGTGCTTTAATGCAAATGTTAAACGTGTGAGAGAAATTACATTACGATGCCATTGTCTTGTACCCTGTCAATAATGTTGTAACAAAGCTGTTAGGAGTGATAACAAAGTTGTTAGGAGTGATAACAAAGATGTCAGGAATGATAACAAAGTTGTTAGGAGTGATAAACACGTAATATTACTGCACAGACGAACACGGTGATGTCATAATGACAATTTAAAGATAACCGCCCCACTTTTGACATGCACCTAGGTGGAGCAGATTATCGTATCCGTTTGTTTTTGTATCAGTGAAATTGTGAAAGCATTCGAACTTCATTGTTCATTGGCGAATAAAGCTCAAGTATGATCATAGATGTCTGTCAGTCCAGCTTGTGTATGAGTGGGATTCATCATCATGTAGCAGGTCCTTTGCGAAACGCCGCTCTCATCACGGTCTGCCTGCAAGAAAGGCGAGGCGGATATACAAACCGCTACTGGCACCTTCGCAATTTTAACTCTTCGCTTGTTGCTGAAGATGGGGACAAAGCGCTTATGGTTGTGTCCCGAGTGCAGTCATGTCGATTCTTAATTTAGCATTCCGTATTGAAAATGGAGTTGACTTTTGTGACAGATTGTCCGTAACTGGGTCAGGAACATCGAGTAGTGTCCTCCCGAGTCGACTGCGGGCGCGTAAGGCTTCGTACAGGAAACCCGCCAACTCACTGTGAGTGGCAGTGACCATTTATATCACACTTTTGCGGTGTTAATTTGGTGAGTTAGTGAAATCAAACCCTACTAGGATGGCACGCTGGGCAATTTACAACTTGTGACGCAAACCCACTACTCAGATAAGATTCTCCCCCTTAAAAACCTCAGACTGAGATAAGATTCTCCCAGGTACAAACCCCAGATATAAGATTCTCCCAGGTAAAAACCCCAGAGATAAAATTCTCCCCGGTAAAAACCCCAGACTCAGATAAGATTCCACCAGGTAACATCCTTAGACTCAGATAAGATTCTCAATAGTAAAAACCCTAGGCTCAGATAAAAGATTTCTGAAGGTAAAAATCCCAGGTTCAGATGAGATTCCACCAGGTAAAAACACCAGACAGATAAAATTCTCCAAGGTAAAATCCCGAAGCTCAGATAAGATTCTCCAAGGTGAAAATCCCAAGCTCAGATACGATTTCCCCAGGTAAAAAAAAAACTATGCTCAGATAAGGTTCCCTCAGATACAAATCCCAGACAGATAAGTTTCTCACAGATGAAAATCCCAGACTCAGATAAGGTTCTTCAAAGTTTAGGTAGAGGTTTAAACAACGGATCAACATCACGGCACAAGGGTAGTAACCCATAAGTGCTCCGTTCTACTTCTGACTCAAACATTAGTGCGAAAAAATCTCAGCGCAATGCACGAACTCCGTAGCACCAGCGAGTTCTTAAAGGTGAAAACCCCCAGACTCAGATAAGATTTCCCAAGAAAAAAAACCCAGGCTAAGATAAGAATCCCCCAAATAAAAACCCCAGAAATCCATTTCGACAGTAAGGTTATGTTAGGGATACAAATGGACCTGATGACCAGACGGGAGTAGGGCTGTAACATTAAGATTTTGTTATATGAAACCCCCTCGTAAATAAGGACCAGGGGTATCAACACAAAGAAAACAATATGTGTGTTTGTTTAGGGGTTGGGGGGGGGGGTGTGGGATGTGGGGCCTCAGAGTGCCTAACCCATGGATTCCGGCGCCCCAGCTGAGGACTGTTGAGATGAGTAAGCTGGTGACCGTTTTAATCTTTCTCTACATTTTACCAGTTAAATTAATTAATAAATTAGATGTCGTCTTCGCAGTAAAAGTTGACTGCAGAAGAAAAGAACTGGTAGGACATTATCGACAATGGAAAGAAGAAGAAGAAGAAGAAGAAGAAGAAGAAGAAGAAGAAGAAGAAGAAGAAGAAGAAGAAGAAGAAGAAGAAGAAGAAGAAGAAGAAGAAGAAGAAAAAGAAGAAGTAGTAGTAGTAGTAGTAGTAGTAGTAGTAGTAGTAGTAGCAGTAGTAGTAGTAGTAGTAGTAGTAGTAGTAGTAGTAGTAGTAGCAGTAGTAGTGGTAGTAGTAGTAGTAGCAGTTCTTGGTGTTGTTGTTGTTGTAGCAACAGCAGCAGCTGAACAAATAATGATGATGAGAAGGTAGAATGTGACACATTTGATAATATTTTTTTTTTTTAAGTGAAATAAGACATTTATATTAATTCGCTAGCTGTTTAATTTTCTAGAAGTACTTTTACGGCAAAGAACCGAAACGAAATCATTTATTAAAAAATCCGAACTAGTTTCACATATGGATACCAATAGCTGTTGAAATGACGTTTCAAAACAAGGAACTTATCAGTCCAAACTTGTGGTAAAGTGTGTATCCTTGTACAGCCCACTACCCTTGAGTGTTTTGCTAAATCTTGAGTTCTTGGGAAATTTTTTAGTGTTGAGCTCCGGAGGAGGATAGAGGCGGCCATAGGTGTTGTTGGCTGTTGTGAATAACGGATGCTGGTTCTTACCACCGTAGCCCTGGAAAAAAATATAGATTGTGAAAAATGTGATTACTTTCTGTTTCTATGTTTTTTAAGGTAATGACGATGCATTGTTTCCTCGTGGCAACAAGCGAGTTTATTGGTCGTAAACCAAGAGGTAGACCAAAAAGACGATAGAGAGATAATGTCTAGACAGACCTGCAAACACTTGGTGTCACCAACTGGAAAGAGAAGGCCAACCAGAGAGATCAATGGAGGCGGGTGATATCTGCAGCAATGAACCTCAAGGGTTTGGAATGCTGAAGAAGGCCAACCAGAGAGATGAGTGGAGGTGGTTGATATCTGCAGCAATGAACCTCAAGGACTCAGAATGCTAAAGAAGGCCAACCAGAGAGATGAGTGGAGGCGGGTGATATCTGCAGAAATGAACCTCAAGGGCTCGGAATGCTGAAGAAGGCCAATCAGAGAGATGAGTGGAGGCGGTTGATATCTGCAGCAATAAACCTCAAGGACTCGGAATGCTGAAGAAGGCCAATCAGAGAGATGAGTGGAGGCGGGTGATATCTGCAGCAATGAACCTCAAGGGCTCGGAGTGCTGAAGAAGGCCAACCAGAGAGATGAATGGAGGCGGGTGATATCTACAGCAATGAACCTCAAGGACTCGGAATGCTAAAGAAGGCCAACCAGAGAGATGAGTGGAGGCGGGTGATATCTGCAGAAATGAACATCAAGGGCACGGAGTGCTGAAGAAGGCCTGGGGGTGTGGCCATATATTTAAGTGAGGTCTGGGGGTGTTGCCATATATTCAAGTGAGGCCTGGGGGTGTGGCCATATATTCAAGTGAGGTCTGGGAGTGTTGCCATATATTCAAGTGAGGTCTGGTGGTGTTGCCATATATTCAAGTGAGGTCTGGGGGTGTTGCCAATTATTCAAGTGAGGTCTGGGGGTGTTGCCATTTATTCAAGTGAGGTCTGGGGGTGTTGCCATATATTCAAGTGTGGTCTCTGGTTGTGGCCATATACTCAAGTGAGGCCTGGTGATGTGGCCATATACTCAAGTGAGGTCTGGGGGTCTTATCATAAACTCAAGTGAGGTCTGGGGGTGTTGCCACATACTCAAGTGAGGACTGGGGGTGTTGCCATATATTCACAGGGAGACAAACGGAGAGATAGACAAGATACCACAAACACACACACACACACACACACACGAAGATGGCCAAGACACTACACACGCACGCGCGCACACAGAGAGATGGACAAGACACCACACACAGACACGAAGATGGAAAAGACACCACACACAGACACGAAGATGGACAAGACACCACACACAGACACGAAGATGGACAAGACACCACACACAGACACGAAGATGGACAAGACACCACACACACACACGCGCACACACAGAGAGATGGACAAGGCACACACAGACACGGAGACGGACAAGACAGCTAACAGACACAAAAATGGACAAGACACCACACACACACACACGTGCACACACAGAGAGTTGGACAAGACACACACAGACACGGAGACGGACAAGACAAGACACGGAGACGGACAAGACAAGACACGGAGATGGACAAGACAAGACACGGAGATGGACAAGACATCAGTAGTCACCCTAATGCCCTTGGTGTAGCAGTCGGGTCTGGACGCTGGGTCAGCCTCTGGTGTGGGGATGAATAACGGTTTTACAGGAGGGCAGCAGGCTAGGCTAAGTCTGACGGGTATCAAATATAAATATTGGACTAAGAATAAGTAAGAGGTGAAGGACAAGAAGGGGAGGATGAAGAGAAAGAGAATCAAAAAAGGAAACAGAAAGAAAGAAAATAAAGAAAGAAAGAAAGAAAGAAAGAAAGAAAGAAAGAAAGAAAGAAAGAAAGAAAGAAAGAAAGAAAGAAAGAAAGAAAGAAAGAAAGAAAGAAAGAAAGAAAGAAAGAAAGAAAGAAAGAAAGAAAGAAAGAAAGAAAGAAAGAAAGAAAGAAAGAAAGAAAGAAAGAAAGAAAGAAAGAAAGAAAGAAAGAAAGAAAGAAAGAAAGAAAGAAAGAAAGAAAGAAAGAAAGAAAGAGAAGAAACAGAAATATAAGCTGAAAGAAGAAGGAGGAGAACGAGCAGGGTGCTATCCTGGAATATTTTTAACTTCAAATCTTACCCGGGCAGCTCCTCTTTTTCGATTTTTAACTGCATAGAGATTTTTTTTACGTGCGCAACAATACACATGTCGTGTGGCGTTGGTAGTCATGTCTATCCAAAACCTTCTGTCTCCTGTACTTTCAGTGAATCGGGACACAGATGATCTTCTTTGATATGAAGTCAGACTGTCCAGTGTCTAGTCTCTTGGTCTTCCCCTGCATCTTCTTCACATCTCACTTATCCGCCGTCACTGTGTATTCCGGTTTTAGAGTAAGGTTGTAATTACAAAGAAAACTGATTCTCCTAATTTCAACATCAAAGTAAGTGAGACACTCCTCAAACACTCTGATGTGCTAAGTTCTTTGGCGCCCGGATAAAATTAGATGGAAAATGTATTAAAGAAATTACAAGCTCCAACAAATGCAACATTTCACAAAATGAAAAGTATTCAATGCAAAAGTCTGTGAGATGAAAAAGGTAATTCCCAAAAGCTAAATATATCCTACATTGAGACACAAAAGAACCATCGTGGATAGTTGGCCAGTTAATGAAAACGTATGTATAAGCTACATACATCCAGTTTTAACATATGGCTGTGAATCCTGGACAATCGGTGGGCAGGCCAAACAATTTCTTGAGGCCTCAGAGATGTAATTTTACAGACGAATGCTTAAAATATCTTGGACAGCCAAAAAGAGCATAAAAGAGGTTTTGAAAGAGGCGGGAGCCCGAAGACAACTTATCACAGACATCAGAAGGAGACAGTCATCATTTTTCGGCCATGTTATGAGAAGAGGGAAAATAGAACATGTTGTGACCACTGGAAAGATCTATGGAAGGAGGGATGCAGGAAAGACAACAAGAAAAGATTCCTGACAGTCTTTTTGCATGGACGTGTGTCGGCACACAAACTGATACATGCTGCAGGAGATCACAGACTGTGGAAAGGCATGATCGCCCACGCCAGTCGGCAAGGCACCTATGATGATGGAGAAGAGGGAAGCGGTGGATATGTGGTTTTACAGACATTGATTGAACACTGTGGACAGATTTTCAAAAAAAGGGCAATGAAGATGTCTTGAAAGAAAATGACTTACAATGAGAACTGATGGTCCGAGGCAAAGGGAGACAATCTACATTCTTTGGTTGGTCATGTGACGAGAAGGAGAAAGCCGGAGTACATCGTGACGGTGGACAAGTTAGAGGGGAAAAGAGGCACAGGGAGATCGAGAGACTACACACTGGACAGCCTGACCTCATATCAAGGAAGATCATCTGTGTCAGGGTTCATTACAAGCACAGGAAATAGAGGGTTGTGGATAGATATGATACCAACGCCACACGGCATGGACTATAAAAAGAACAAGGCAGCTAGTTATGACAACTAAAATGAAAGTACTAGTAACAGCTAGGATATCATCATCCTCAGGTGCCTTGTCGACTGGCGTGGGCGATCATGCCTTTCCACAATCTGCGATCTCCTGCAGCATGTAACAATCAGTTCGTTTGCTGACACACCTCCATGTCATGCAGCAAGACTGTAAAGAATCTTCTCTCGTTGTCTTCCTCTGTCCCTCCTTCCACAGATCTTTCTAGTGGTCACAACATGTTCTATTTTCCCTCTTCTCATAACATGGCTGAAAAATGATGACTGTCTCCTTCTGACGTCTCTGATTAGTTGTCTTTGGGCTCCCGCCTCTTTCAAAACCTCTTGGTTGCTCTTTTTGGCTGTCCATCTAGGATAAACATAATTTAACATTTCGGATTCTGTTTCTCGGCCAGTCTTTAGCCTCATACATAACACTGTCATACTCCAAATAAGCTTCGTTTGATTCTTCTTGCTTTATCCAAATACATGTTTTTATTTTCAGCAACTACCGCTTTCAACTGAGAAGCTACATACCCGCTATTCTCCGCCACTTGCAGATGTCCTTGATTTCTTTGTGAATCCGCCATCTTGGTTACTGATTGTCAGACCGTGAGTGCGTTCACGTTTCGTGATGGTTAGTGCGTGTTTTTTCATCCTCGAAATAAGAGAAATTAAGGGAAATAAGAAAAAGAGAAATAAGAGAAAGCCAAAGAAATAAGAGACGATAAACCACCTGCTGGAAATAGGTTTTAAACCAGGACAAGCATGCAGAAACAGGTTGCGGAGGAAAGAAAGATGTGTCAATCAACTCCTGCTGGGTAGGTTGAAAAATATGGGGGTGACTTTTAGTCTGTATTGGGCTTTTTTGTTTTCTAAATTGGGCTTTTTAGTCAAATTTTACTGGAATTTCCAGATACGTTGAGCATGAATATACTGAGATGGCTTCTGCAGAGGAGGATGGAGCACACATGGGTTGGATCAATATGCTAAGATGTCAATACGGACAACATGTTTTCTTTTTTTTTTTTTTCAATATCTGCATATACCGCTAGACGTCGCAGCTCATCAGACGATCGGCAGCCGAGCCAGGGCGCGCTAGGTCGCTTGATGTGCTGTGATGTTATGCAGTCTCAAGGTGTCAGTGACTCCTTCGATCCATCTTATTCTCGGTCTTCCCCTGCCTCTTAGTGTTTCAATCTTCACCCTGTACTCTCTTGCTTCCGGCATCGTTTATTTCATACTTATTAGATGGCCAAACCATTTCATTCTTTGTTTCTCAATACATTTGATGATGGGTGTTGTTCACGTGGATTTCTAGTAATTTTCTCTGGTCTCTGGGTAGTAGGATCAGACGCCCGTGTGTATTCTTGCGCATGTTAAAAAAATCCCTTGGCGGATGGAAATCGAAAAGAGTAGCCTAACGGCGCTGCCCGGAAAAAATTTTGAGTAAAAAATATACCCAAAGTATTTCAGGTTCCTCGCAGGTGCAATGGAGTTCGTGCAATGCGCAGAGATTCATCAGACTCAGGCTTGAGTTAGAAGTAGAACGGAGCACTTATGAGTTACACCCGTCTGCCATGATTTTGATCCGTTGAATAAAAATAGACATACATCCTCGAATGACGCATTCAAACAAGCGAATCAGACATCTGGAGAAAATACCCTTGTAAAAACTACTAGTGTAGGTGTGTAGGTGTGTATGTATGGAATGTATGTGTGCATGTATGTCTGTGTATGTATGTGTGTGTGTTTTATGTTTGTGCATGTATTTCTATGTTATGTGTATATGTGTGTTTTATGTTTGTGTATGTATATAGATGTGTGTATGTATGTATTACGTATGTCTGTATATGAGTGAGCATGTATGAGAATGTAAGAGTATGTATAAGTGTGTGTGTGTTTGAGTGTGTGAGATTGTGTACACATGATGTGTGTATGCATTTTTCCATAATGTATATTTCTTTATAACATCCATAACATGCATTATTGATAACAGGCATTGGTACTCTGAAAAATGAGTGCTTAGAAGGGCCGAATGTCAGACAGGCCTGCGTGCCCAATTTGTTACCCCTTGAAAATAAAGTTTGTTCATTCGTTCGTTCGTACTACATATATGTTGACTGCTGGGAAGAAGAAAGAAAGAACGATACATCAAGAATAATCTCGAGACATTTCCCTTATATAACATTCAATGTTGAGAAATATCCCCAGGCATTTGTTTTCGAATGCAGTTAACTATTGTTCCATGCCTTTTGTGGTTCTCCCAAATTTCCATGGCATGTATTGAAAAATAAAAGTTGAATTAGGAATCCACCTCACAACACTCGGGACATTCGCATAAGCGCTTCTTCCCTAACTTCAGCAGCAAGCGCGGTTCCCATTCCGATGGCATCAGTAACAGTCCGCTAGTATATCCGGTCGCTCATCGCAGCGCTATTCTACTCGGACCGCGAGGTTCTATTGGTGTCTCAGCAGTGTCCATTCGCTTTTAAGAGACCCTTAAAGCATCTAGCTTGTCGTGCATCTGTTCACCACACATGATTCAGAGCCAGCCAATCGATCTGCCTGTTTGTTTCCTAATATACATGGAAAAAAAAATCCGAAGGACGCTATCTAGCCGGGACTCCTGAAACGATGCTTGCCACTCTGCACGAAGCATGCCTGCCTCCTCCTTTATCAGCAAGCTCTATGAGTCACAAAATGCGTGTGCAGCTTGTTCTCAAGCCAGTGGAAAGCTGCAGTGACCGTCTCCACCACCATTCTTAAACTCGATGTTGTCGTATAATATGATTTGCTGCACTAAGCGACTTCCTTTGGCTTTTGCTATTGTAACAGGCTGGGGAAGCAGGTTTAGCCTATTTATAATTTTAGTTTGGCTGCACTTGCGAAATAAAACTGGCATGTTTGGAGATCGGAACTCTCCGGAAGTGGCCAGTGGGTCGAAAAGTTGATAAAAGTCCCGGTGCAGCAGAAAAAAAAGAGTATCTTGGCTCGTTGTTATTTGGTCTCACCAGTTGCTCTGAGAACATGTAGTCCTCCTTTTGTTGCGGAGCGGTACAGGGTTCTCAACGCAACGTAGGTACGGTGGACTGATTGGAGAGAAATGAACTGCCTTACTGGTTTCGTGTTGTATCGATGGGTTCAGTCTATAGATTGTGTTACCTATAGATTTCCATTGTGCATCCTCGATTGGAGATTGGTGATTGCTGGTCGCTTGA